TCTAACCTTGGTGTGTTGTCCCACAGTTTGTCATGGGCAAGCCTGATATAATCCCCCTCCCCATTCAAGTCTAGTTTAAGTCATGTTCAACTCTAATTTCTTTAGAGGGACCTTTGTCCTAGAGTGAAACTAGTTTTGATTCCAAGTTATGGATTCATCTGCAGAAGATAAGGAGGAGCTGTTAAGATATTAGCATCCATACCCAATTCAGTTTGCAAATGAATAATGGGATATGTGAATTTCTGACATTACAAGTGGGATTCAGATTCCTGAACATCAAAGTCTCTTGCTGTGTGAGCTGACACAGGCAGGATGCAGGAAAAAGCACACAACCATGGATGAAATGCAAAGAGTAAATTTAATCTCATTACTTTGCAGCCCAGGGGATCTCTGGAGCAGCACTGGGGCAGAGGCACACAAGCAGGGATGCAAGCACTGTGGAGTTCAGTCCCTGCTAGCCAGAAAGAGGAGAAGAAAGAAAAGATCTTGAACCTGCTGCTTTCACTTGTATATATCAAGGATTTTTGCAGGCATAGTTTTCCACTGTGCTTCAGTCTTTCCCACAGCAGGGCAGGAATCTCAAGGATGTTCAATAAGGTGCCTCTGAGTATTGCAGGCCTATGTTAGCTAAATGCAGAAGTTCTACCTGTCAAGTACACAAAGCTAAATCAACCATTAGTATCATAAATGTGGTTTTTGACACTCCAGCTGCAAGTCACTTGAGCGTGTTTACAATCTTCCTTGCCAGTCTCTCATTGTATTCCCACATTTGCACTGTAGACACTGTCAGTTATCCTCTGCTATAGTATTATTCTCCCACGGGTAGAGTGTGAATGTTGCAGCTATCCCAGGGATTAAGTTGAAGCATCCAAATCTTGACTAAACTTTTGTTGCAAGATGCCAGTAAAATAAGAAAGAAACATTCTGAGAAGAAATCAAACATGAGACTTGTTCAGGAAAAAAAAAAAAAAAGCACCTTTTTTTCTAATATGAAAAACCAACCAACCAAAACATGTGGTGTGGTTGATACTCTAAAAGGAAGGGATGTCATCCAGTGAGATCTGGACAGGCCTGAGAAATGAGCCCATGCAAACCCCATGAAGTTCAACAAGGCCAAGTGCAAGGTCCTACCCATGGCTTGGGGCAATCCCAAGCACACATTCAGGCTGGGCGAGGAGTGGATTGAGAGCAGCCCTGTGGAGAAGGATTTAGGGGTGTTGGTGGGTGGAAAACTGTCTGTGAGCCAGCAGTGTGCACAGCACAGCCAACTGTGTGCTGGGCTGCATCAGGAGAAGTGTGGGCAGCAGGTCGAGGGAGGGGACTCTGCCCCTCTACCTCACTCTTGTGAGACCCTTCCCCCCCTGCAGTGCTGGGTCCAGCTCTGAGGCCTTCAACATCAGAAGGACATGGACCTGCTTGAGTGGGCTGGAGCAGCTCCCCTGGGAGGCCAGGCTGAGAGAGTTGGGGGGAGTTCAGCCTGAAGAGAAGGCTCCAGGTAGACCTTACAGCGGCCTCCCAGTGCTTAAAGGGGGTACAGGAAAGTGGGGAGGGACTTTTGATCGGGGGGTGGGGTAGGATGTGGGGGTAACCGTTTTAAATTGAAAGAGGGTAGATTTTGATTAGAAACAAGGAAGAGGAGGGAGGGAAGGAATGAGTGAAGGAGGTATAGATGGGAACACTTAGTTTACTGGTGAGATGCACAACATTTTTGCCTTGGTGGAACAGCACCCTCCCACAAGGCTGCTGAACCAGACCTGGTGTAGTGATCAGGGTGCATTCAGTCATAGCAGAGGTGACTTTGGCCTGGTTAAGGAAAGTCTCCTATCCTGATGTTCATGAAGTGTCTGTTCATATCTTTACCAGTGTCACAGGTCACCAGGTCAAGTAAAACCTGGAGATAGATAGGTAGGTAGGTAGGCCCCATGCATCTGATTATTTTAGCAGTATTCATGCTTGAGTTGTGAGAGAGTTGACTTGTAACTCCCCAAAACAGGGGCTGAGAGGAACAGCCTGAGAAAGTGATAAGGGATTTGGGTAGTGGAGGCCCTCTGAGCTGAGGAATGTCTCAAACACTCACAAGTAATGAAACTATAGCCAGAGGGTGAATAATGTAGAGTCTGGAGCTGATAAGGCGGCCTGATGAGCGCAGGATGCAGCTGGAAGAGAGAGTCCTGTGAAGGCAGGATGGCTCTGCTCTGGTGTACCTTGGAAAGTTTCCAGGGCCATCTGTCCAGTGAATGACCTTTGCTTCATTATCCACAAAATGCACATTAAAGTAGACACCACCAAATATGCTAATGAAGATTAACAAGATCATGCTGATTACATCATCCCATGAAGCACTTTACTCTTCCCCATACATGTGATAGGTAGGTATGTGGGTTGACCTAGGGGATTAACACAAGGCAAGTGTGTATAAATCGAAGCGGGGTGAGGAGTGAAAGCGTGCAAGCAATAGATAGAAAGAAGGAAGCAAGATGGATGCATCCCTGACAAACTCAGACAGGGCCAATGTAGGACCCTGGACTGGTAATCTCTATTTTTCTGTTCTCTCTCCTTTTCTTTTTCCCCTTTTCACTTACTACCATTAAGTAACGTAAGGCATACTATATCACTTGTCATAATTTGTTATAGCTGACTATTGTGTATCCAGTTAGTACATTGTGAGAAATTAATAAAATGTCTGTGCATGGACTTTGAGACTTGTCTCACCATTGTCCGCTCTGTTGGGGATTTATGAATCTAAGTCACTTGTCTCCCTTGTCTGGACAGGATGTGACAAGCTGCAAGCTCCCAGCTCTGAAATATGTGACTGTCTTGCTGCAGCTTCCTCTGCCTGCTACTCCGTGTTGTCACTGAAATATTTCCCTTGAGCAAACTTGGCTGCTTTCTGGAAAAAAGAGCTCTATAGGGTTACCGTAGCCCGCTGTCCTTCAAAGAACGTTGGCACATATCAACAGACACAATGACTGCTGTTTGTAACTTTTAGGCATCTTTGAGAAACACACACATACACACCCCCAAAAGGAGGTTGCACCTTTGTAAAAGCAAAGCCTTCAGTCAGTTTTTTGCATGAAGACAATAAACCGTGCAATTAAAAATGCAAATAAAAATGTGAATGAAAGCAGCTTGGAATGTGTCAGTGTTCATGAAGGAACAGAAGTTACTTATTGCTGTCAGGAATTCTTTATGGTGCTTTATGAAACTGTACGTTGAACACTTCTGTTCATTCCTATCTCCCTGGGAATACTCGAATGCTGCCTAGTTTCTGCAAGTGGGAGGAAGCTATGGTCTGTGTAAGCATACACTGCTGTTTCTACTCAGTGTGAAGTGACATTTGCCCTTTAGGTACTGCACAGACAAGGTTTCCAGATCTGATTGTCTGTGACACATGCACAGTGGCTTGTTTTACTACATGACACATGTGATGCAGGGACACGTGTCTGGAGAGTCTTATTTTGAAGGCTTTCTTGTTGCAGCTAAATAACTGTCCTTTAAGTAGAAGTCTTTGTTTTGTCTATGTCTCCTACAAGCTGCTTGAGCTTGAAGACACTGCACATATGTTGCAAGAACAGGACTCACAATGGCATATTGGACCAATGAATAAGAAAAATTGGTTAGAGTTAAATGAAAAGAATTCAGAGATTACACCAAGGAATGCAGAGAGAACATAGGAGCCTTGTAGCTAGAGAGTATCACAAAACAAGTGTGTTCATTTATTCTGTAGTTAGAAAAAATGCACGTTGTGCTGAAGCATGTAAAGAAATAATGTCTATAGGGCACACCAGTACCCCATAAAGCAGGATTTTTGTAAAGTAATTTTGGACATCGCACTTTGTTAGAGTTATGGGCAAATTAGAAATTCAAGAGGACAGTACAAATGATTGGAAGTTTGGGAACCAAGACTCAGGATTTGGGCTGGGGAGCAAGATTTGTATAATCTAGATCAGTGGGTTTCAGCTTTTTTTTTTTTTTCCCCTTTGCAAATACAGTATTTTTTTCCATGTTTGGAGTTGCAGAACAAATAGAGAGCTTTTTAAAGCCTATAGGTAGTAGGACTCCTCTTCAAAGTTACTTCTGTGGCCTTTTAGGAGCAGCTCATTGACCACAGTCTGAAAACTACTGATCTATAGAAGATAAGTTTGAGGAAAGGGAAGGATAAAAATGAGTTCTAAGATGGTTTAAGAGAAGACCAAAAGCTGTTCCCTGTGTTCTTGGTGGTGTGAGGCTAGAATAGCAAGCTTAAACTCCAACAGGGAAGGATTACTTCACATAAAACATTTTTTTTAATTATGTAACAACACGCACCTAGACAAGCTGCAGAAAGTATGTTAGCAGAGAAGGTAGACAGATTAACCTGGTGGGCAGGAGGAAGATGACCTTGATGGTTTCTGTGAGTTGGACATAACAGCTCAAATCAGCATATTTAAAGTGACCAGAATTGCTTTGCTCATAATGAGAACTGCTGAAGAAATACTGGTTTATTCCTGAAAGGTGACTACATTTCTGTGGTGGATTACTTTATTACTTTGTATGGGAATACATCCTAGGGAATGGGCTTGGCCACACCAGGTATAAAACACTGGGGACTCTCTGGGAGATGCATGTGCTCTGCCTCTGAAGGACTATAGTCAGAAGTGGTGGATGTCAGCAATTAAACGTGCTGTGCAGCAGAGATGAGAAAATAGTCTTTACACCTTGTATGTAAAACAGCTTTATTGTAATCTCTTAGTTGACACTTTGATTTTCCCTTGTCCGCCTATGACATACCTTATCAGGCAATGCATTTACAACACATTGGTACAAGCTGTGAGTTTTAATTGATATTTATGATTACTTTTATTTGCTGCATTTGCAGGTTACTCTAGGAGCCACCTAGTGGTACACTAATCTGAGCAAAATGTGTAGAATAACAAAATATCTGTAGTTGTAACCAAGACATGCTCAAGATATGTGTGCACCCATGTATAAATATAATGCACTTTTTTTTTTTTTTTCAGCTACAAGAAGAAAGATGCAGACTTGTCTGTGGCTCAGGGTCGCATTAAGGATCTTGAAGTGCTGTTCCATAGAAGTGAAGCAGAACTCAATACTGTCCTGAATGAGAAACGCAGTCTTGAATCAGAGGTGGCTGATTTACGTGCCCAACTTGCTAAGGTATAGCAGAGAATGTTCCTTGCTTTAACACAGGAGAGGCTATGTATTGTCAAACTTGTTGGTTTTCTTTGCAGTTAGTTTATCGTCTGAACATCATATATCAGCTTGCTTCCTGCTGAACTTTTGCCCGTCCCTCTTGGATATAAAACTAAATTGTAAGAAATTTATGTAAAAACAACCAAAACAGCATGATGTTTTAGAAATTTTGCTAGTCAAAAGCTTTTATTTAAAAATTTCTGGCAAGTGTTTCTATATTCATGAGGTATCAAATAAAAAAAAAAGCTTGTTTTAAATATTCTTAAGCATGCACACACTCTTTTTCTTTCTTGTTGCTTTGGTTTGTGTTTTGTTTCTTGGTTTTGTTTTGTTTTGTTTTTTTTTGAAAATCAGTGGCTTGACATCAGATTTGTTGTTGTGAATAATTGGTCCAAAGAATTCAAATGAAGACCATAAAGGGGTTATGGATGGAAAATAGAGATCCAGACAAAATTAAATCTTTATCTTTAAAATTCTTTACTAGGCTGAAGATGGTCATGCTGTGGCTAAGAAGCAGTTGGAGAAGGAGACACTAATGCGTGTGGACCTGGAGAATCGGTGCCAGAGCTTGCAAGAGGATCTGGATTTCAGGAAGAATGTATTTGAGGAGGTATTATCACCTAGTAGTCTTATAATAGCCTGAAATTTATTTAGCTTTTATTCAAATTGACTATAAGCAATTACTAGTCCAGCTAGGGAAGATCAATATTATCCTCGCTATAAATGGACTGAGTCATAAAATAGTTAAAGGTTTTGCAAGAGTTACGTGGTGAATCAGTGAGGGAGCTGACATGAAAGCTAAGTGACAAGGGTATTGTTCCGTGAGCTAATGTTGCAGCCAATTGCTCTGGGAAAGGGAAAGTCTTGTTCCCTCTCTCTGGACCTGGTTGTACGGCCCTGCTCCTTACTTGCACCAGCTCTGGTGATTGTTGGACCTGACTATAACCTGTTTTAATTGATGACAGCAGTTTGCAGTTATCCTGCTTTTTGCAGCAGTAGTTTTCTAAAGGGTTGTTTTCTGTCTGTTTAGTGAGTTCAATTGGCTCATAGTGGTTCTAGTGATGACCAGGGTTTTTATAAAGTAAATAGTGGGAATGCATACGTGGAGATTGGAAAGGGGAAGCATGACCTTCTCTCTGTACCAGGTGCAAAGTGTTATGTCAGTGTAGTTCATCTTGTGAAAACTGACTCTGACCTTTGGTCCTCCTGCAAGCTCATTCAATTAGTGGCTGCTAAGAAATGGCCGCATGCTTCTGCCCTTCATTTCACTGATGCTAGTTGTGATGTTTGGCTCACCATGCACCAAACCATTTCTGCCTGATTAACTAGTAAAATACTTACATTTTTTTGCTTGAGTTTAGTTTTTGCCAGCTTAGTGTCTGAGTTATGTCTTACCATGGAATCGAATGAGTGCACAGACTGGATTGGGGGATGGGGCAGGGCTGTGTGGCTAACGACAAGGGCTGGAGCAGGGCAGAGAAACCAACCAAGTAGATCACCCTGAGTGGTACTGGTCATTGTCTCACTTCCGTGCCCTGGAGTAGTTGGATTGCTGCACACAACTGCAATGACAGACCCTTGCTTGGTTGTAGGACCTGAAAATAACTTTGCTTCCTGAGGAGAATTGTGTTGCTACTGACGAAAGGTGAAGCTAAATGAGACAACAGAAGTTTGCTATGAAATGGGGGTGTTCCTTTAGCCATCCCTGAAGCTCTTTGATCCTTGTATGGACCAATTCAACACACAGAGTAAGAAAAGGAATTTGTTTCCTTTAGGGCAGTAAATTAATTTGGTACAGTGAAGGGTCCAAAGCTCCAGCACCATTAGAACATCACGACTGAGAGTGTGGCAAGTGAAGCCTGCTTATTCTAGTGATGTTGAACTGCTAGATCACCTCAGGCCTTCACCTGATAATCTGTAGTCCCCAATGATATTTTTGTGGCCTCTGAGGGGTCATTGCCTACAGTTACTGAGAGACTGCTGCTTGCTAGTTTTGTTGGTGTAAAATTTCACCACAGAAGGGAAAGCTTCTTCCAGATCACATCAGGGCACATTGCTGTGAGTAGAAGGGAATGTTTCTAAGAGTATGTTTTCACACACAGAGAATTTCTGCAACATAACTAGTAAAGTCACTCAGAATTTGTGTTGGCCTGCTATGACTTCAGTTTAGGCATGCAAGGTGAGCCTTGCTTCACTTGCCTGCTCTTCCCCCTCATGGCCCTGCTGCTATCTTCAGGCCTCCTCACTGTATTCAGAACCACACCCTCGTTGTTTGTCCTACCCTGAAGGGAGAAATTGTTTCTTTCTCATACCATGCATTCAAGCCTGGCCAGGTCTCTGCAGGGCTCAACATGGATAAGTGCATGAGTAACTTACCTCACTAGTTTGGGACCAGTGCTCTAGGCACAGAGAACTCATAGTTCTCTAAAAAGAAAAATTTATTAGTACAAACTCTGACCAGACAAAATTACATTTATGTCTTCAGGATTTTTTACTTGCTGCTTTATTACTAACGTAATCAAAATCTAACGAGTAGAGGTCATCCAGTATATAGGAAAAGAGATAAGATCTGCATATGCTTAAAAATGAAATTTGAAGATGCAGTTTTTCTTTATAATGATTATTTTTTCAATATATGTAATGGTCACAAAAGGTGTTGACTTATCTGACTCCTTGTAGACTGCTATTGTAATGTAGGGATGTATATTGAGAATGAAAGGGTTTGTACTGCAGCACATGGAATCTTTCTGCTGTGTAAAAATTCATGTTTTCTTCTCCCCCCCCTTCACTTCTGTAGCATAAAACAGCTCCTTACTTAAACTGTATACAGCTGTCTTAAAACCTGTTTTCAGGTTGGATCACTTTTAAGAATTACATCTTGCCAAATGAGAATGGTAACTTGCATGTGTTAGTACATGCAGCTCCTATATACTAAATAATTAGTACTGAAATAGGTAATTGCCTGAATGTAATTGTTTGTACTGTTTACCTAATGTAAATTAATTTGTCCCCTTTTTTTGTGTGTGTAGGAAATAAGGGAAACAAGAAAGCGACATGAACATCGTTTGGTTGAAGTGGACACTAGTCGTCAACAGGAGTATGAATCCAAAATGACGCAGGCCCTGGAGGATCTGCGAAATCAACATGATGAACAAGTCAAACTGTACAAAATGGAGCTTGAGCAGACCTATCAGGCTAAGGTAACTACTGCTATCCACAGCACTGTCTGACAGGAAGTCCAGTTAGTGAGATAAAGCCACTTCCATCAAGCCCTACCGTCTTTATGGAGACAAGTAATTCTAATTTGAAGCAGCTTTGTCCCAGTGTTCAAATGCCACCTCTGGTGCTTGTGCACAGATGCATTTCCCAGGCGAGGCGCGGAATCACGACTTTACAACCAGTACGGTTATAAAGTAGGTTTATTTCTTCAGCGCTGGGTGCACGGGGGAATAATTTCCTCCAAATGCGTGCCCAGCTAGGAGCCAAAAGCAGCTCCTTTTTACTGCTTAAAAAAGTTACATATTCACTAATTCTAATACATATGCATCACTACTCCGAGGACAGGGAGGGAATATTACAATTAGTTCTGAGAAATCATTAACATATCCTCCCACCCCAAATTCCTCCCATCACACTTGGGCAGTGCTCCCTGGTGGTTGTGGGCAGGGGTCTTCAGATGAAGGCTCGGAGTCTTCTTCACTGTGTTCGCTAGTTGACCCTTACTACTGCACAGACTTGGTCCTGTAGTCAGGTACACCTTGTCCTTCACGTCTGGGCTAATTTGCAGCTCCTTTGTCTTTCTGGCTCAGTGGTTTTAGTTCCCCTCTTGTCTCAAGGACAAGAGACACCAGAGGTGGCCCATCCTGTCTTCCTTCCCTTCAGTCACAAGGGAGTTCCTGTCCTTTGATAGGGACCATCAATGGCCCATCTGGTTCTTTCTCATTCCATTGCAAAGGAGTTACCATCCTTTGATGGATGGAGGCCATCTGGGGAGCATCCCAAGGAGGGGGGGTCTGTTGGGTTAGTGTGCGCATCCCCTGAGGGGGGGGGCTATCGGGTTAGTGTTTCCTCAGTTCGCGGGGAGGTTATAGCCAGAGGTAATAGCTAGGAATAGCTTTAGCTAAGAAAGGCCAGTTTGTGAGAAAACACATAGAACTGTTGGTCACTGCATTTTTGTGGCCCTCCTCTGGACCCTCTCCAACAGGTCCGTGTCTTTCTTGTGCTGCGGGCTGCAGGGCTGGATGCAGTAGAGGGAAAATGTGAACATAGGAGTAATTTAATCCAGGAGAAAGCTGCTTAAACTGCTTTAAAATATTTGCACTTTTTTGCTTTATCTGCCCATTGCAGATGAGTGAAATACATCTCATTCAAATGGGAGGAGCAGCAATATGTTTCATGGAGGTAAAATAGTAATTTGACAGAGTTTGATAAGTTTGATGGAATTTAACAAAGTTTAACAGTGGGTTGACAAGGTTCAGTAAGTTTGATGGCAAGGTTCACCTTATTAATTACTTTATGGAAGGAATATACAAAGGAAAATTCATTTTGAATGATTCACACAGAAACCAGAGACGCAAAGAGTAAGGAGAACCCTCCCATTGAGTCACAAGGCTCAGAGTAGGACTCAGAGTAGACCCCCTTGCTTTCTAAACTCCTTTTGGAGCCTAGGTGTGCATGGATCCAATTTTAGTCTCAGACTTGATCAGTGGTTTATGTCTAATGGAATTATACATACAATTTTTATAATAATATTGAGTAGCTACATGGATTAGTAATGTTTCACAGCATTAATTCAGCATGCTGTCACTCACTCACTGAGAATCTGTTGCGGGTGAGGGATCTTTCCCGCCTTGGGTAATGAAGGATCTCTTGGTTTCAGGTAAGGAACCTCTAAACCTTAAAAGGTGTCCCTGCTCAAGGAGAGAGTCACCTGGCATGCAGTCCAGCTGCAATTCAGGGAGAGCTCAAATTGGGCCCATCCTGGTGGTAATATTCATAGGGTGAAGTAGCTGGCAGCTAGTAATAGTATAGATAAGATAGACGTCTTCGCTTTAGCTCTGGTATCTTGTTCTGTGCTTTAGTTACCTTGCACTTTTGCATTTCGAAACCACCTTTCGAAATAGTCATCAAGACACCTTCTCTCCCTTTTACATGAGCTTTCCAGCTCACAAGTTCACCCCAAGGTTATGAGGCTTGTTGCTCCTTAGCCTGAATCAAAGTATGGCTAGGAGTCAAGTGTATCCCCTCACACCTGTGCACATCCCAGTCATCCAGAGCTGGCGACATGGGAGGAGTAGCAGCTTTGTTATTGGTACAGTTGCTGGTTACAGGTTTGTGTCATTGTTTTGGGGTTTTATTTTAAATATTCATTGCCCTACCTGAAGAAATTAGGCAGCTGCCAGTTTTCTGACTATTTAAAATACTTGCCAATAATTACAGCCATTTCTAAGTCTCTTGCAGTGGAGAAATTACAGTGCTACTAACATTATTCTCCACCACCCTTCACTGAGACTTCCTTTGAATTCATTGTTTTGATGATTTACAGTTTAAGAAACTTTGATCTACAAATATTTATTTAGAGCAGCAACAATATAGATAATAGATACTAAAAAGCAAAAGTAAGTACAGGCTTGGCATTATTCACAGAAGGATAGGAGATGCCTAGTAAAACAACAAAAAAGAAAAAGTCTGCAGAATACAGACTTTGAGAATGAAAAAGTGACAAGATTTGAACAGAGGGATGAACAAATTAAGCTGTTTTTTCCCCACATAAAAGATGGTGGTTGTTATGGATGGAATTGGAATGCAAAAGTAAAAATGGGCTTAGCTGTGACCTTCATTCTGTGGATTTCTGGATAAAGGTGCGTCCTTGTTCAGAGAGAGCCTGAGCTGCTAAGAAATATAATGTCAAAGTGGATTGTTAAGTTTAGCTATTGAGCATCTCCAGGAAGAGAGGGTCTTGGGTAAAAGCTCGCTTCTTGCTCTAACCATGATCTTTGATAATAAGCAATAGAAATTTAAATCTGAGGATTTGGCACTATGTCAGCATGACTGCAAGGAAGTGAATGGTTGTCAGCATTCAAATAACTTTTAAATTTTAGAAGTAGTAATGGAGTATATAGTTGACTTGAAGTTCCTTCAAAACCCTTATACTAAAGAATACTCTATGTGTGTTCTCTTCCATACTCAGAACTTTGTGACCAGCAGAGCTAATGATTGATTTTGTAAAGCTTTGTGCTGTGTGGCTAAAGAACATGTTCTGCCTCTAACAGTTCTTAGTACTGGAGCAGTTTAGTTCCTGGGTGAATTCCATGGTGTGTAGCAGAATTGTTGAACTCCAGCTGCAAGGCATGAAAAGGGTGATTTCCTTCTAGCTATCTACTTTTATGAAACTTGCCATGTAATAGCTTTGAGCTCTGTTGTTGCTGTCAGATTTGGTTAAAATTAACCACTAGAAATGAAGCTTGTTCATAGGTGAAAATAACAAAAACTGAAAACAGATTGAATGTTGGCAACTATTAGAGAAAGAGAATACAACCAAAAGCATTGGTTTGGCTGTGGGAGAGGATGTCATCTGGGGTGCTGTGAGTAGTTTTAGTCATTTCGAAAAGGTAGTACAGAATAATACAGAGAAGACTAACAAAGACAATTAAGAGTATGAAACAGGTCCTGCATGAGGAAAGTTTAAAAATTCACCTGGGAAAATAAATGAGTCGAGAGAATGGGAAGATACAATGAATGTCTGTAAAAGGAAAAATAACACAGAGGAGAAAAATGAGGAGTGATTATTATTTTTCAGTGGAAGTAGGGACACTGAATGTTCAGCGGCAGACTTGAAAGAGACAAAAGAAGGCTCTTCTTCATTAATATATAGCTAAACTCCTTGCCTCATAAATTCAGAAAGCAGAAACAAATTCCTGCCTGAAAAATCCACTGAGAGAAAGTAAACATCAAAGTACTGTCTCTGGCATAGGAAGTCCCTGCATTGCAAATGGCCAGCTGAGACACAATGCCTGTGGAATATTTTACTGAGCATAGTACCTGGTCATCTGTGGAACTGTTAGGCCAGGATGTGAACTAGGTAGCTTTTGCTCTGACCCAGTGTGATTGTTCTTAGGACAAACAAGCAGATAGTGTGATCACATGAACCTCACTTTTTTTGGAAACTGTAAGGCTGCTTGTATAATGGAAGGGCTAATAGACTATTTTTTTTTTAATAGTATAAGCAAACCCTATAGGACTGAAATTGCTTTTCCTGATCCTTAGGGAATTTCCTCAATGTTATGCAATTCTTATCATAAATGTACCAGATTTCCATTCAAAATTATTTGACCAAATAGCTTCTATTTTTTTAACCAAAATTATATTTACAGGATATCTAACTTAATGCAAGTGATGTGTATAAAATTTGCCTTCCAGCTGGAGAATGCTAAACTGTCCTCTGACCAAAATGACAAAGCTGCTGGTGCAGCTCGAGAGGAGTTGAAGGAGGCTCGCATGAGAATAGAAGCTCTGAGCTACCAGCTTTCTGGCCTTCAGAAACAGGTAAAGGACTAAATTTGCTTTCATCTCTAATACAGAGCACTGTATTATTTGGATATATTAACATTTATGTCCCTTCATATTTTCTGAATTTGACAGAGAGAAGTCTTTATATTTATTTGGGAGGGAGATGAATTTTTTAACTTTTTTACTGTACTCATATAGATGCCAACTGGGTTTTCCATTGTGCTGTCTACCTAGGCTAGTGCAGCAGAAGATCGCATTCGTGAATTGGAGGAAATGATGGCTGGTGAGCGGGAAAAGTTTAGGAAGATGTTAGATGTAAAGGAGAGGGAAATGACAGACATGAGGGACCAGATGCAACAGCAGCTTACAGAGTACCAGGAACTGCTTGATGTTAAATTAGCACTGGACATGGAGATCAGTGCTTACCGAAAACTCCTGGAAGGAGAAGAGGAAAGGTATGTACAGATTCCACATTCTTTTCTTATGACTAGCAGGTGTTATTTTCATTTCTTGTGCTTATTTTTTTTTCCCATTTGAGCAGGAATGCCCAGACTTTGTTTCACTGAAGTCACATTGGCTTCACACCACAGTGTGTTGCACGGAACACTTGCAAGTGTTCTTATTTGAACACCGTCTTTATTTTATTTTGGTTTTTATAATGGTCTCAGAGTACAGTGGAGTATATAATGTGCCTGACATTCAGATCCTCTTTTTAAGTGTTTATATTTCTGTATTTTCCTGTTTTTAAACTATGGGCCAAGAACAGTGTGTTTAGTAGTAGAAACACTGGAGAGGATGGTTAAGTGATCTGTGTTGCTCTCATTAGCACTGCTTTCCTAGTTGCATAATTGTATTATCAGAAAATTTCTCAGGTATGGAAAATTTTATGTGCAGTCCTCCTGACACGCACAGTAAGGCTGCTTTCAGCCTTGGTGCATACATTACAGTGTGGTTACTGAGTATATTGTGGCATTATTGCTTTGTAGTTCTGTGGATGAGTTAATTAAAATGCTTCCTTCATTGTGCTAAGGTTGAAGCTCTCTCCAAGTCCATCCTCCCGTGTTACAGTCTCTCGGGCTACCTCCAGCAGCAGCAGTAGCAGTACTTCACTTGTTCGCACTTCGCGAGGCAAGAGAAAACGTATTGAAGCAGAAGAGCTTTCAGGCAGCGGAACAAGTGGAATTGGCACTGGAAGTATTAGTGGCAGCAGTAGTAGCAGTAGCTTCCAAATGTCCCAGCAAGCTTCAGCTACAGGAAGTATCAGCATAGAAGAGATAGACCTGGAGGGCAAATACGTTCAACTGAAAAACAACTCGGAGAAGGTGAGCATGTGCAGAACTCCTAGTAAACAAAGAGGGGGTGCTAAATTGAAATGTTACACAGCTTTTTATAGCACAAGTAGGTGGAGTCACTTGGAGAGCAGGAGCAACATCTCAAGGTACAGAATCCTGCAATAATTAACAGGGGCATTTGAAAGTTGACCGTTAAGTGTGCGAACATGAATGTAATGATGAAGCGAACATAATTTGTCTCTCAAATGTCTAAATGTGTGCTGGTACCTTGCTCATGTAAATAGCCTTGCTGGCTCTAGCAGAACTTTTTTGTGTGAAATGTGTATAATTTTAAATTTTGCTGAATGACCTCACAGGATTTTACACTTTGGACTATTAGTGGGTATAGACAAATACTTCCAGGTTAGCATGTAGATGTCTAACAACCATGTAAGTAAATTTATGTTCACATTATTTTAATAACCGAGACATAGAGAAAGCTCTGATGCCTGTTTGCTCTGTTTTGCCAACCCTGAATAACCTTATGACTCTCTCCATTAGGATCAGTCTTTGGGTAACTGGAGACTGAAAAGACAAATTGGAGATGGAGAAGAAATTGCTTATAAATTTACTCCTAAGTATGTCCTCAGAGCTGGGCAGACTGTAACAGTAAGTTATACTTGCAGTATGTCAACAACATATTATTTTGTTCACGCTGTGGCAGTTGTAAATGTGACTTTTGGTACAGCCTGATTTCATGTAGAACTTTTTGGTTTTGTGGATGTCATTTTAGAGGAGCAAGATGTCAGTTCTAAAAATGCAGAACAGAAATTGAATTTCTGTATTAGCACTTCAGTATTTAAGCCCATTTCAGGCATAGAGAAAGTCGAAGAAAAAGGTATTTTGGGGGTGGGCCAAGGGCTGTTTGTTTTCAAACACCTTTGCCCAGGTTTGGAACACTAATCATGCTCAACCTCTTAATGATATAGGAACATTTCAGAGCATTCATTCAGTCTAGTTAAGTTTAAGATTAGGTGTTCTCATACTTACCTGAAGTAGAACAGCTGCTTTTCTATAATTTTGTATTTTATTTTCAGTCTGCAACAGGTGTTCTTTCAGAAGAAAAAAAAATACTTTTAATCAGGTCCAGCTATTTCTACTTAAGTGTCAACTGCTCAGATACAAATAAAAGATTTAATTGATAACACGACAAGCTGCATTTTATCTCTTGGTTCCATACAGTATAGTCATTGAGACAGTGGTAGGAGAAATACGTATATTGAGAAAAGAATTGATGACTGCAATATTAGATAATTTTTTTCTCTCTCTTTTTTTTTAATGGCTAGTGTTACTTTTTGTTGTAAACTGAGAATAATATCTTGCTACAAGTAATGTTGTAGGTAAAAGCAGGGTAAAACTGCCATTGGAATTCAGAAACAAAACTGGAATGTAGAGAGAAGTAGGAGAATTAGGGGTTTCTGTATATTTAAAAATAAAATGTGCATAAATAGCTAATTACAGAATGTCTTTCTCACTAGATTTGGGGTGCAGATGCAGGCGTATCTCACAGCCCCCCTTCTGTTCTTGTGTGGAAGAATCAAGGCAGCTGGGGCACTGGAGGAAATATCCGCACATACCTTGTAAACTCTGAAGGAGAGGTAGGCAGTGTCTGTAGAAAAAAAAGCTGTGGGCTGGGTAATCTCTCAGACTCTTTAATTTGGAGGGTGGAGGACAACGATGATGACGAAATCCTGATTTTAAGATCTCCCCTATTGTCTTCTAAAATAGGACCGTATATAACACTGAAATAATGAAATATCTCTGAGATTTTTGGGAAATTTTGGAAAACTGATCATCATCTTGACTACGTCCATAGACAACTTTTTCCTGTTTTAGAAAAACACCCTGCTAGTAGTGAATTTGTTTGGAATTTGAGTGTGGATTTTCAGAAGAGACAAAGCAAATAAGTATTGCTGGCAATTCAAATTTACATTGTATAGTACCTACAACATTCTGGGCTGCAATGTAAATATTACTGTAGCAAGATGGAAGATGTCCTTTCAATGTTGCCAGTATATCAGAAGTTTTAATTTGGCACACATTCCTGTGTATTCTGCATTGTCCTACATCTGCCCACAACTGATTTTTTTAAAACCATCCCTTCAAAGGACTCCTGCAAGGGAGGATCATGCTTTGGCTGTTATTCATAAATGTGCCATTATCTCAGCAATCTGATAGAAATAGGAAAGTAAAAGAGACTACAGTTGTATCGGTTTTCATGCTGCCTTTCTAGCTGACAATTCTATGGAAACGTGTTGTGCAGGAAGAGCAGCACAGGACAAGGTAGGAGGGAAGGTCATTTGTATAAATAGAAAGCTAACCAGCTTAGTATTCAAATAGAAGTGGTTAAACTAGTATCTGAAAAAAAATTAAAATCCATGTCCTTTCCCACTGTGGTTACCTTTAGTATCCCTGCTTAGAACTGTATGTTTAGGGTGACTTCTTCCACAAGTAAAAATTTGCACCTATGATTTCAAGGGTACAAGTGTACAGAAGAATTTCTTACTTTTAAGAAGTGTTAGAAATAATTTAGTAATAAAGAAAGCTTCTTGGGGTCTTAGAGTTCTGTTTAGTGCCTGGTTTGGAAGCCCATTGTGATAATTGATACGTGCCATTAATACAGAATATTTAGTAGAAATTAGGAGTAATCTTAATTCAGTGTAATCATACTGAGAAACATTAGTTTCTCACAGTATGTCTTAGCTCCTAGCTGGGTCTGCTGTGACCTCGTATAAAATAGACTAATGACAAACATGGCTGATTCCTCTCAAATCCCTAGTTAATGAAAGAAAATTTCTGAAGCTAAGTTACATTACCGTGCCTTTTAGTGGATAGAAATAGGAATGTTGTGGATTGCAGGATATTGCCAGCATTTGTTTGCATAGTTAATGTTAAATCTAGGGCAATTTGCTTTAAACCCTCCAAAATTTAATAGGGGTATTATATAGATGGTGTTGCAAAAACTTAAGAGATAGATATAGACTACTGGCCATCTCCTTATTTGTCGTTTTGTGTAGGAAGTTGCAGTGAGAAATGTTACTAAATCAGTAGTCGTGCGAGAGAACGAAGAGGAAGAGGATGAAGCAGAGTTTGGAGAAGAAGACCTTTTCAACCAGCAGGTAATAAGATGCGGACCAGATGTTTAACTTGTGCCTCCTTGGTTGGATTAATGACGCATAAGATTTAGGGGGGGTCCTTTCAGTTTTTGTCAGCTCTGAGCTTCCTGGTCCATTTTTCCAATGGATGTTGTCAGAGGATGATCTCAGAATGGCTTGCAAACCTGCAGGATTACTGCAGTGCACAGAGAGAGTATAATGTGAGTGATTCTTCCAGGAATTGCTGCTTGAATCGAAAATGGTACAGCTCAAGCAGCGGCTCGTGTCAGTTCAGGATGCCAGAATATCTATGGAAGTATGCGACAGATCAGAATTTTACACCTTTGCAATGACATAGACTATATCTAGGGTTAGTAAGATTAGTTTTAGCAGACAGTGTTCCTCCCATTCCAGTATTTGCTTCTCTATTAAAAAAGAGTCTGCTGTAAGCAGAATTTAACCATTGGGAAATATAACCACTAAAAACCAGGAAAGGAGGAGTGCTGCTGTTGCCGCAAGCTTCAGCTTATCGATTTTCTGATAGTATATACCTGCTACATCTGAAATAAACTTGTTTTTTCTTAATAATGCCACCTATATGTTTTCATAACCCTTAGTTAAGTACTGTGCAATAACTGACCAGCAGTCAGCAGGGTGAAAAGGAGAAAGATACTTGATACAGGTGATATCAGAAAATACTTTAGATTTATTTCAAACTCAAGTGATTTGTTCTCCTAATCAGTGGCCATTAGTAGTTCTTTTCATGAAGAACTCATACTGTACAGGTTTGAAGTTGAGTTTTGAAAACTTTTTTGGTCTCTGGGCAATTGAGCAGTGTATTTGTAGTATAACACCACTGAACAAGAAACTTTTTTTACCCGAAGAAGTAGTTTTGCAGCATGGGTCTCTCTCAGAAACATCGTTTGAAATAAAGAAACAAACATCCTGTTCTGAAGCGAATGACATCACAGTTTTCATTTGTCATCTGTATCAGTGTTGAAGGTATGGAGATTAACCAGTCAACCCACTGTAGAAAACCACAACCAGAGTAGCAGTGTCTTACTCCTGACAGTAGACTGTGACGTGTGCTATGCTTTCTCTATAGTTGTGATGTTCACTGAATATAACTAAGCTACCAAAATAAAAGCTTTTCACAACTGAGATGATAACCAGAGTCTGGGTTTACAATATGAAAAACTAGTAAGAATTGAGTTCTACTATGCCTGTCTTATTTTAGGGGGATCCCAGAACAACCTCTAGAGGATGCTCAGTGATGTGAAGAAAGAAAAAAGAAACTATTATTTGCTATTTTTTTTTTCATTTCTTTCCTTTTATTTTTGCTATTTTTTTCCCTCCAGAGCCACTGAAAACTATTTTTATATGCATCATCTGATTTCTTTAAAGTTTACTCCTTGGTACATTTTTATAAAAAAAAATCGAAAAAAAAAAACCTTTACCGAACAAAACTGCCAGAATTTTTAATAGATTTCTTTATTTTTCCCTCTTTGTTGAAACATTATATTGGAATACAGTATTTTTTCCCATACAGAGTTTAAAGTCTTCTGTACAAACCTTCAGCAGAAAATAAATTGTTAGCTAAAATGGGATGAGACTCCTTGAGTGTATGGTAAATCTATAATTGCATATAATACCAGGATAACAACAACAACAAAATTTAAGAAAGCATGTTCATCTGCAGGGCCCGATGAGAGATTCACAGTAGTGTTTCCTCCATACTTTGTAAGAAATGGTAGTATCTTGCCTGGTATCTTCAGCAGTGCCCATCTTAGGAAAACTAGACCCCAGATTCATTAAAAATGCTACTCCACCAATGGAAGTAAGAAAGGGAAGCTGCATTTTAGACATTCTTGGCTCAGTACCATGGCATCTTGTCCTACTTCAGGGTTTGACAGTCTAGTAGTAAAAACATCTGAGTCTGTCAACACCTTAGCTCCATATAATTATTTCAGAAGATGGAGAATGATCGGTTCTGCTTGCTGAATATAGACATCATCTTAGGTATGAAAGTGTCCAAACCAGTTTTAACTGTTTCATTTTCAGTGGATTTTGACGTCACAAATGAGACCCTGTTAAATCATGGACACAAGTCGTGATGTACAGTATTTATGATGTTAAGCATCATGATTTAATGATTTTGACATATTCAGCATTAAACAGAATGATTATGATTTTAGATGTTAAAAATATTTTTACTTTTGGCAATGATAAATATTGGGGATTTTAAAGGTTAACCTGTGTAAATGTTGACTTTTTTAATCAGAGCTAGATGCAGCTTGTTCATACTTCTCTTATATTCAGAGGGGCATTGCCAGGTATCTTAAGGAGCAGTATTTGCAAAATAGTACAGAAGTAGTTTAATGACTTTTTTAAAAAGTTAAAAGGAACTGCTGTTGTTTAAGACTTAAGCATTGCTTTGCAGTGTTCAAATGCTCAATGTAAAGTAACAGTGAAGGGAGAATAATGTTTTTTATAAAAAATGCTTTGTATGAGTAGCAGGTGATTTTTATTTCAGTATGATGCATTTTGTATCTGACAGTGTCCCTTTAGCTTAGGGTTTCTTCTGCTGCACTTCTGTGGAGATAACTCTGACTCCCATAAGAGTATTGATATAGTAGTGCAGCTTTAAGCACTAGGAAAAATACTTGATTGCTCCAAAGAATGCATTGGCTACTGTACAAGCAAATGTTTTTTCCACTAGTTAATAGTTTGGATACAAAATTTGGATACCATTTGATGCCAGCATAGAATCCTGTTTATACCTGCACTCTTGAAGTCTGATCTTGTCATTCAAATAGTTTGGACTCGTCAAACGAGCTACAAGGTTTGGATGTTTTCGGTGGCTTTTGGATATTATGTTCTCTGAACAGTATTGTGACTGACAGATATAACCTAGAAAGTCAGTTTAGTGGCTTTGACTGATGATGGCTTTGTAATGCAAGCAGGGTGGGAGCAAAAGGGGGTTTTGAAGCTTATGGATTTATTTTGCCATTTAAAAATAAATCAGATGCTACTTTTCTCTATTTGAGTGAGATGACTGAATTACTGAAGTTAAACTAATAGAAATGTAAAACTATGTTTTAATCCATTATCAGAAGATCCATTACAAAAAAAGCAGTATGAAGATTTGGCTGTTTGGGCTAATGGGATAACTTGATGTACTTGGCTGGTTTTCTAATGTAATTTTCCCACTCTGCTTGAGTAGAAGGTTAAATATGTAGTAAATCATGTCTATCTCTCTGTAAAATGTATCTAGTGAAATTATGTTTCTCAGACATACTGTTGTCAACTACCTTTTCTAAATTTCTTGTTACGCAAATGAATGCAATCAATGTAAAAGTATTTTTGCAATGCACCTTCCAGCCACTGGGCAGCATTTCCCTTTCTGACCCACAGTTTCTATACTATAATTACATAATGTCTGAGGGCTTTTTGCCTTTTTTTCCTAAAGATCTGTATTTATTTTTTTTACATTGGCCAGTTTTCAGATTGCTTATTCTTAAGATTGTCCTATGCGTTTAAGATTGTTCTGTGGTCTTAATACTAAAGCAGTGAGTGTGTAGTTCATTTGCATTTTTTCTGTGACTTTTTTTTTTTTTTTTCTTTTCCTGTAAAGAATGGGCTAGGAAAGGCAACTTGAATGAGGAAAAACCTCTTGCTACCTGAGCCATAGTTTTCCTAACAGCTACTGTATGGGGAATGTGTCTTGTAGCCTTAAAGACTGGTGCTGGCAAATCTTTTGTGATGAACACTGTGCCCCTCAGTAACAGTCTGCAGAATTTGTCCTTAGATTTGCAACTGCATCCTTTAATTTTGGAAACCGTTTTTATTTTATTCTTCAGTACCATGTTTAGGTATATACAGATGTTCATGTAAAACAGTGATTGACACTCTGGGAATTACAACAGTCTAAATGTGGATGATTCTGTCACCACAGTGCTTTCTAAAAGGCTACTAAAAATATGAGAAATAATTCCTAGCTGTAAATTACAAGACACAGAAAAACTGCTGTATTCCACGTACTTTCTTTTTTTGTGTGGGCGTCTTCTCTAGGACACCATCCTTTCCTCCTGCTTTTGATGTTGAGCTTCAGCATAATGGCACTATGCCTTTAAAGTTGGTGCTCCGAACTGGGAGGTTTTTGGCTTTACCGAGCGAAGAAAGCATTGCTTCTTTTTCCTCTGTTTTTCAATTATTTTTTTTCCTCATTTTCAGGATAATTAAAGTTTTTTTGTTCAAATAAAATCCAGTGTCCCCGTGCCCTCTTTTCCTATTTGATCCTGAATGTGAACCACTCTTGAAGAACTTGGAGGATAGTAAGCATTTCTACTCTAGTGTAGGTACCAGGTGTAGAGCTTGAAGGAGAAACAGATTTGATTTGTCAGGAGAGAAATTATTTTAAGGCCTCTGTGATTACAGAAATTAACCAGTATAGCTTTTTTTCAGAGTAGTCACTTGAGGTTAATTTACCCATATGGGTGTTCTTGTTCCAGAAAAACAGGCAATCAACTTTATTCTGGATGAAACAGTAAAAATTATTCCTAAATGATTCTTACTGGTTAAGAGGGGGAAGGGATAACAGCATAACTGCAGCAGAATAGTTAAGCTAATCTTTTCATTGTGTAGATTGTAACAATATAATATAAAATATGATAATGCATACTACCTATTCCTATATTTATACCATGTGAAAATGCTTGTGTCAGAACAAGTCCATCCATCTGCAGACCCACTGGTAATGTGGCATCCTCCAGAGTGAGATATGATTACAGAGAACCTGAAATTCCATGCCACTTCTTTTCTCCCTCACTTCTGTATTTGTTACTTTAGTTGCTGTATTGCAGTGACTTGTTCTAAGTAATAGAGTGGCTATGATTCCTTTCTTGCTGCACAGCGTTATTTCCCAGTGTGTCTACTTAGGCTAGTTCGGGACTCTAGATTTGCCCCGACAAAAACAGTAGTTTACACTAATCAGTTGTCTTCAGCACCAGTTTGCCATTAGATGGGAGTTGGCTGGCTGTGTTTGTAGCAGGAACCAAAAGTCTCAGGAAGAAAATAAATGTCTGCTTCCCATGACCTTTAATGTAAAAGCCAGACAAGCTTGTCTGCAGCTTGCTTTAGTCAGGAAAAATGTATTGTAGCATGAAGCAGACTGTACTGTGAAAGGAGGTCTTAATATGCATGTTTGTCCTTGAGCAGCGAGACACCTCATGTTCAGCGTGTGGATTTTACTGTTTTTTATACACCCTTTTTTCTTACTATTAATGCTCATCCTGTATAAAGGCCCTTTAACTGCAACCTGAACAGAGGTTAGTTAGAAGAGGCTTATAGAAATCCCTCTCTACACCCCAGAACACTTGAGAATCTCTTTTGTGTGCATCAGAAAGATTTTGATGCTGTATAAAAACATGCATGCCGTATGTCTTATATTTGTTGTAGCCACTTCTCTCACTTTCTCACTGTGAAGCCATTCTGTCTCTTCTTTCTGTATCTTCTTTTGAAAGTCTTACCTCTAAACAAAGGTATATCCATATTTGATACTGGATTTTATTGCCACTGTTGGGTCCAAACCCTGTGTGAGCAGGAAGCAAGCCTTGTTGTAAACCAGTGAGTGGAAGGTGAGGGTAGTGATTGCATTTTTAAAAGCATTGTTTTAGCTGAATGTCAAGACAAATTACATTGGTGAGTTTCTTTTCTCACTTAAAATGGCCTGGGAAGCAGAATTTTTATTTACCCTTCAATATGCTTAGCTTTGAACCAGTTTAAAATAATTTCGATGTGTTTTTTTTTAATACAAGACCATATCTACATGCAATTATTATTTGTAAACATAATGCCTTTCTTGAAATGCTAAGGTCTAGAGAGTGAAAAGGATGATTAATATTGAAAGACTCAGTTCAGAATAACTCAAGCAGTGAATTGACTTGGAGTTGAGGAATATGAAACGTGTTTTATTGAACTTCCACATTTTCTAGTTAGCTTTTAATGAAGTGACGATTCCATGTTAATAAGGTAGATGTTATTGTGTATTCCAGCTATCCAGATCATCATTACTTTAAAATTACAAGCAATAAACTATTTTAAACAAGTTTAAGCAAAAATGCTTTCCATTTGGGCACAAAATACAGTTGAACTCTTATCTTCTTGACAGTAATGCCTTGTGACTTGAATTGTGGTTTTTTGATATTTTTTTTTTAACACAGTCTATTTAGATAGCTCTGGTTCTAGGTCACTGTAGTTTAACTGACCACCTCTGGTCAGCTGCTGCAGATGAGTTTTTGGAAGGTTCAAGTTTTTAAAATAAGGAATTGTGAAAAGCATTGCAAATTGAAATATAAAGACAAAATTATTAAAATGTTCACATGGAACTTATGAAAACTACATAATGATCTAGACTTTATCATTTCAAAGTGGGGGGTTTTTTTCTTTTTAGAATATGCATGCCAAATGTCTTGTCTTTTTCAATGATTTGTAATATACATTTTATGACTGGAAACTTTTTGTACAACACACTCAAATAAATGTTTTGCATTTTATTTGTTTTCTTCTTTCATTTAACCAACACAGAAGCCATGTGGGCTGTTTGAGAGGATTCATCCCAGGGCACTGTCCTGGTTTCAACTGGGATAGAGTTAATTTTTCTTCTTAGTGGCTAGAATAGTGCTGTGTTTTGGATTCAGTACTGGATTTGGAATGGGAAGAATGCTGATAATACACCGATGTCTTCAGTTGTTGCTGAGAGATCAAGGCCTCTCCAACTTCCTATGTCCTGCCTGTGGACAGGTGCACAAGAACCTGAGAGAGAGCACGACCAGAGCACCGGACCCAAATCGGCCAGTGAAATATTCCATATCATGAAAAATCTGCTCAGTATATAAAGGAGGGGCAGCTGGGAAGGAGAGCGTTCTCTCTCGCTTCCAGAATTGCGATTGCGGGATCTTGGTATTTCAGGATCACTGGCTGGGAACGGGCTGGGTATCAGTTGGCAGGTGGTGAGCAGTCGCACTGTGCATTGTCCGTTTGTACTTTCTATTATTGTTATTTTTCTCTATTTTATTACAATTACTAAACTGTTTTTACCTCAACCTAGGAGTTTCCCTTTACCCCTCCAATTCCCTCCCCCATCCCCAGGGCAGGGGAGGGTGAGGGATCATCTGTGTGTTTGGCTGCCGGTGAGGTTAAACCACAGCAGAGACCTTGCTATGTGTAGACAGGGGACAATGAACTGTCCACACTCCTATGAGAGATGAGCTGAATTGCTGCATGGCCTCCTCAAAAAGCAGCTTTCCTTTAAATTATATGCAGACACAGTACTCATGGAAAAAATGCTGTCCTCTGATCAGTAGCACCGCTCCCAACAAAAGCAGAACTTGAGTAGCTGGAGCAGATAAATGTCCCCTTTCCTTTCTTATCACCCCACTGACTTCTGCAGCCCCTGCACTGGAGGGGTTGTTTCCATTTCAGCCACTTGATCCTGACTTGAGAGAACAAGAGCAGATACTGAGCCCTGGCAGTGATTGATTCTTAAAAACTAGGAAAGGGACGGAAGCATTGCTGTGAGTTGCCATGTTCATCATTAGACTAGCTCAGTTTCCAGTCCGCTTCTTTTCACTAGTCCATACTCATTATAAAATTGTACTGTAGGCAACTACCACATCTTTATCAGTAGCTGATGGTAATTCTGTGAGGTGTAGGAATGGTTTCTTTCAGTGGACAGACCCAAAGATAGGATGGTGTTTTACAATACTGTGGTCTCTAGCAAGTGTAATGCTCAGTTCATGATCTCACACAGAGATAAGCAGCTCTCTCCTTTCTGCACATCTACTCGTGAAACAAGCTCTGTGGTGGTGATGTCTCCCATTTGCTTCTACCAACTCCCACAGCGTTCCTATGTTCATGCTTAATGGAGGATATACCATGGTGGAATTAATGCAGGCTTTAAGGGTACGACCCTCTTACCTGAGTCATCTAAGGCAGAAGGAACTGTATTCTCAAAGGACAGAAGCATTAATGCCAGGGAAGATAAACCTGGGAGTGATCTGAGGAAACACTAACCCGATAGCCCCCCCCTCTCAGGGGATGCGCACACTAACCCAACAGACCCCCCCTCCTTGGGATGCTCCCCAGATGGCCTCCATCCATCAAAGGATGGTAACTCCTTTGCAATGGAATGAGAAAGAACCAGATGGGCCATTGATGGTCCCTATCAAAGGACAGGAACTCCCTTGTGACTGAAGGGAAGAAAGACAGGATGGGCCACCTCTGGTGTCTCTTGTCCTTGAGACAAGAGGGGAACTAAAACCACTGAGCCAGAAAGACAAAGGAGCTGCAAATTAGCCCAGACGTGAAGGACAAGGTGTACCTGACTACAGGACCAAGTCTGTGCAGTAGTAAGGGTCAACTAGCGAACACAGTGAAGAAGACTCCGAGCCTTCATCTGAAGACCCCTGCCCACAACCACCAGGGAGCACTGCCCAAGTGTGATGGGAGGAATTTGGGGTGGGAGGATATGTTAATGATTTCTCAGAACTAATTGTAATATTCCCTCCCTGTCCTCGGAGTAGTGATGCATATGTGTTAGGATAGGTAATATGTAATGCTTTATACAACAAAAGGGAGCCCCTTTTGGCTCCTGGTGGGCCCAAATTGGAAATTATTCCCCTGTGCACCCAGCGCTGAATAAACTTACCGACTTTATAACCGTACTGGTTGTAAAGTCGTGATTCTGCACCTCAGGAGTTGCTCTCTCTAGGGAGCCCGGATCATAACGCCAGTATTTCATGTCAGGCTGTAGCTGCGCAGCACGTTTCTCTAAACTGGTAAAACCAGTTTAAGTCGCTCCCCGTTGCATCAGTGTGGGGCTGTGCTGCATTTACCCTACAAACCGCCCCAGGCCTCCCGCCTGGTGCAGCCCGGCTGGGGAGCACGAAGCCCGGGAGTTCCCCGGCAGCCCGGGAAAGAATCCCCGCCACAGCCGTTCCTGGCCGCACCGCGTGTTTCCAGCCCCAGGACCCAAAGCTTTCTCAGGGCCGCCTCCACCGCAGCGTGTGGTGACACAAAAACTGATCCCGTCACGAGACGTGGGCCTCTGCCCTCAACCGCTGCCCGGCGGGGCCGCGACGCGCGGCAAGACGAGCGTCCCCGGGCGCCTCAGGCGGGCTGGGCCGTGGGGGCGGGCGTGGCTGGGAACGGGCCTGGGGGGGTCCCCGCTCGCTGCAGCGGCAGCCGCGGCCCGAGCCCCCGCCGCCGCCGCCCGAGCCCCCGCCGCCGCCGCCCGAGCCCCCGCCGCCGCCGCCCGAGCCCCCGCCGCCGCCGCCCGAGCCCCCGCCGCCGCGGCCCGAGCCCCCGCCGCCGCGGCCCGCACAGGCCGAGGGGAGGCAGCGCTCCGCCCCCCCGGCTGCACGCTGGGAAGGGCAGCGCCGTCCGCCGGGCGCGCCGGGAGCTGTGGTCCCAGCCCGCCGCCATTTCGCCGGCAGCGTGGGGGCCGTCGCCCGCGGTGACTTTGCGGTATGGAAAGCGGTTTCGGCTCCGACTTCGGCTCCGATTTCGGCTCCGGGGGTGGCGGCGGCGGGAAGCTGGACCCGGGGCTCATCATGGAGCAGGTGAAGGTGCAGATCGCCGTGGCCAACGCACAGGAGCTCTTGCAGGTGAGGAGGGGCCGCGGGGGCGGGAGGGCGCCGTCCCGGTCGCGCTGTGTCCCGGGCCCGGTCTCGCTCCAGGCCGGGCAGCGGGGCCTCAGCGGTGCGGAGAGGGGGGCGCGACAGCGGCCGGCGGTCCCGGCCGGCGCCCGCAGCCCCCCTCACGGCCTCTCTCCGCAGCGCATGACGGACAAGTGCTTTCGGAAGTGCATCGGGAAACCCGGCGGCGCGCTGGACAACTCGGAGCAGGTGAGCGCGGTCGGGGAGAGGCGGCGACCCGCGGGCCGCCCCCCGGGACGACCGCTGAGGGCTCTCTGTCCCACAGAAATGCATTGCCATGTGCATGGACCGATACATGGACTCCTGGAACACGGTTTCCCGAGCCTACAATTCTCGGCTGCAGCGGGAGAGAGCCAACATGTGAAGAGCCCCGGCTCCTGGACCAGGGAGGGACCATGTGGGGAAGGGACGAGCGGCCAGTCCAGGTGGTTGGGGGTGAAATCCTGCTGCCTTTCCAGCCCCTGCCATGGCAGAGCAATAAACCCTCACTGAACCTTTTGCATCCATTGGCATTTATTAGCACCAGCCCCAGGAGCAAATGAATTTACCAGCCTTGAGAACCACCGTGATCTGCTTGGTTTGCCATTCCCAACGGTCCAGACTGGCTAAGGCATATAGCTGCTGATAAATCCCTGCTTAAAGGGCAGCAAGAGGGAAGGAGCCTTTTGTGGAAAAGTGGGGGCAAGCCAGCAACACAGTCCATTTGCCCAGAAAGCAGGCATGAACCCAGCCATCAGGTAGTTACCCGGTCCCTTTTCATGAGTGGAGAAGCTGCCATGAGATGGTCTACATTCCACACTTTACTTTTTCTTACCTTGTATTTGTATAGCTGTGTGGGGCTCATGTTTGGCCTCCGTAGGCCTTGACTCAGCTCAAGAAGTGTGTTGCGGAGCAGGGGTGCTCTTACTGGGTTTGCAGCACAGCCTTGCAAATAGTTGTACAAACACAGCTGGGGATGAAAAGGGTTGGGAATTTCTTAGGTTGATTTCTTTATAGATTGTGTGTTGTGGCTGTGAAGTTCTGTAACATCTGATTTGGCTCTGGCATGCATGTACCATCTTGGGGCCTACCTTCTAGGTGTCATTTTTTTAAGGGAGGAACATTTCTGCAACAGAGGACTTGAGTGCTTTGGGGCTGACCTCTGTATTGTTCTCGGCTTACACCCTTCTCCTGGAAAGGTCAGTTTATGCTGTGTAGTCAGCATTGTGCACAACTGGAAGAGGAGAGTGGTGGAGATTAAAAGTGCCTATCCCCCTGTGGTGAGATTTTTGAAATCCCTTCTTTTGAATCTCTTCTGTAAAGTATTTCACTGTTTGCTGGGACAGGGAGACGGACTGAAAAGATGGCACCTCCTTACCTGCTAGGACATTCAAAGGTATGTGGGAGAACCTGATTTCACTTTATCTCCCAATGTGGTGGCTTCTATGAATGGACTAAAGTGTTCTCACACAAGGTAAATTATTAGGAGATAACTGGATACTTTGACTATTTGAAACTGGGGTTTCCCTTCCAGATGGGGAAGAATGACTACTTGAAAATAAAGCGCTTTCCATACACGTTTGCTTAGGGGCCTTTTTTTTATGGCTGTATTAATTTTGTACTGGCTGTGCAGCAGTCCTGTTTTGTTGATGGGAGCATTTCACAAGTGTTACAGCCATGCATCCGAACCCATCTTGAGCTGAGCCATGTTTGGAAGCCAGGTCTCCCACCTTGCTTGTGCTCCAGCTGAATAAGTGGTAGATCTCACTGCCAGCTGGATTGGGAAAAAATAAATCTCTTGCTTTACCCAAATGCAGAGCTTATGTGCCAAAGACTAGGAAGGGGTTTGGGGTACTAGC